TAAACATTGAATTTACTGATATATTTTATGAGTTATGGTTATTTAATTTGTTTATGGTGAAATAATAAAAAGTACTAAGTAGGGCTTAAAAAAATTGTGATATTTTTTAGTAAAAGTAAACTTAGCAGTTTTGGCTATTTTTGTTTATGTTGACCGTTACAGTAAAAATATGTTTCATGAGCCAAAAAAGGTCTGAAGCAATGTTAAAGTAAAATACAGCAAAATCAACGAAAATATTTCAAAAATTCTGAAGGAATAAGCTTTGTATCGGAAATGACGTACGTACTCAGCTGTCACCGTTAACATAATAATTTCTATAAACCAATGTTGGCATCCCAAGAACGTTAGAATTTAACAATATTACAATTTTGTATTCCTTTATTATATTGCATAATAATTAAGTATATAATGTATATATAGCTACCTACCTACCACCTACCTACTCTACTTTCCTGAATTTGCTTCAGTTGTAGAGTTCTTATCTGTCCGATAATACTACTTAGTATTTTAGGTAGCAATAATTTATCATTGTAATAATTTAATCGATATACTAATTATTTAATGTACTATGAATTAGTTGTTCGTGTCTGTAATTTTGATTTTTGGTCACCAAAATGACTGAGACGGAACTGAGTAGGTTTTAGACACTGGTAAATAGTGATTCACGATGGCCATGGATTTAGATAATTATTTAAGTTGGTTTATTGACTATTTTAATCATTCGATTTAGCAATACAAAAAAGATAACTCAATAAGTATAAAAGGATATTACTTGCTGTTAAATTGATTGTAGTTTGTAAGCAGTAAACCTAAGGGTTTGACAAAATAAATATTAAATGATATACCTATTATTTTATGTTATGTGAACAAAAATTGTTTAAACATAATATCCTTATTTATGATAAACTATTATGCTTAACACACATATTGTTTAATAACTAGAAAACTGCTCATTCCAATTTTTTATTTTGATACATTAAAATCCTTAAAAAAAATATTTACTAAATAATTTACAGTAAAAAAGTGGGGTTCTCATTTGAAAATCAAGTTTGTATCGCCAAAGGACACTCTTTAAGTGGTACAAAAAATCTCAAGATTTTGAATAACTGCATTATTAAAGAAAAAAAGGGAGTGAGCATGCTTGGCGAATCACTCTATATAATCGAGTTATAATTTTTTTTTAAACTTAAACAGTATAAACACGTTGTTGAACCCAACTTCCCTCAGACGTATAAGAAGACTAGGTACCTACCTATATATAGATACAATAATTTATAACTTATACAGGTATGTTTTTTATTATTTAAAATTTAAATATATACCTATGACATACCTACTACGTATGTACGACACTGCAATGTACACTCTACATCGACGGTTATGATATTATATAAGATCATGCAAGAAACATATACATCATAAATTATATAGTACATTATTACATTCTATACAAGTATTTATATAAACATATAATTACACGAATACAGGTGATATCTAATGGGAATAAATTAAGTAAAAAAAAATTAAGTAAACCTGTAGGTAGGTACCTAATAAACAATCTATATAAAATGTATACAATAAGCATAAGTGATAAATTAATAAGAAATTAGGGCAGGAAAATAAATCAGAAAAGTGATATCTAAATGAATTTACTCATTGACGACACTTTGTATTACAATATGTACCTATACATAAAAATATAGGTCTATCATTATCTGTAGGTAATTGTTATTATAAGAGATCATAACGACATCACATCATTTACGATTCAGTCGTCTACGACAATTACCATTTACCTCTACGGCTCTACCAAGAATTGATAAAGATAAGTTTTGAACTATAATAGATTTGGATTAGATGATAGACGATTTAGATAGATTTCATTGAAGTATTCGGCTTCATTATAAATTTACAATATATATAATATGTATATACATTTATTTTTATTTTAAAACTATGTGTTGTGTTGTTTGTAAGTTATTTGATAAGTAGGGAAAGACATTAAATAGATTTTTGAAAAGATTGAATTTTATTTCATTCAAAAAGTCTTAAAATATTTTGGAAATTTTTATCGTGTACAGAAAATACTAACATAAACATTTGGTGAAAATTCTAAGTATCGATTAATATTTATTCGTTTTTGAGTTACAAGATGTCAGCGGTGTACCTATAATACCTATCTCACATTGTGGACAAATCCGATCGAAATGGGCATTCCACCTGCGGCAGATTGGATAGTGGATTGTGGATACATTACGCAGTCAGTGGAATAGTAGTACATGGGTACTGTACTTATCAGTTTAGGGTGTACTACTCATAGATAATAGTATACTAAATACAAGCACAACTACATGACAAAATCAATTTAGTTATAATTTATAAGTAGATAGTAACATACATCCGTCTAGACAAACTGAAAGTAAAAGCACTGCTTGAGTAATTATTGCCTATTCGTACCCCTTACATGGACCTATTGACCATAATTGTACTTATTACTGTTTCTTCGTCATGTTCATCTTGTGTACTGAGCCTGAGGTATTCTCTGAAATTAGTCAGAAATCCAATACTAGTTCCACCAAGAACACTTCTCGCTCCTCTGCCCTCGTTGGCAGCTGGGCCAACAATGCACGTTGATCTCCTTGTTTTATCGTATGTGAACAAAGAGACAGGAACAAACTTTGGCTCAATTAAAATCCTGCTACTGCCTCTAAGCTCGTCCACGATTTTGCTAAACACCGAACAGTGAATGTGATCGTTGTAGTACAAAAATGATTGCACATGATGTCCCCGAGTCAACATAAATTGATTTTGTTACAAGAATGTCTGATAATTAAAACAATCTAGTCATAGCTCTATTGACTTTTTATTTAACTCAAACTGGTGGCAATATGAAGTTCTAAGACATAATAAGTTCCTAACTGGTGAATCTTCTCACCCCTTCAAAATTATTTTTTCAAAATAAAATAGTAGCTGTTTTTATTATAATGGCTTATTGTTCAGCTAGAAAACTAATCCGGATGCCTCTACAGGTGTCAAACTTATTCGCGATAAGATTAGGATGAAACGGGGGCTTTTAAAAGCATGTCACCTGAAATCGGACCAAAGTATGAAATTAGGAGTCTAGCTTTACTATCATTTTCCCGAATGACACGAATTACAAAAGCTAAAACACTCTTAGCCAGAATTCAACATCTAAACAGACGACTCATCAGTTGAGAGTTCAGATTTTTTTGGCTTCTAAAAAAACTATAGCACGATCTTCGCACCAAACTTGTAAATTTTAATTTTAATACTGCATGATTTAACTATATTTTTGTAATTATTATCACTGATACATGGCTTAACGATTCTTCTTATTCAGGTGATCTTGAGCTGAAACTTTGTTACTTTAAAGGACACCCTTTTTTTTGCATTTGTTTTTTTGTCATCTTAATATTGTCCTCCGATTGGAGGATTGAAATTAACCCAGATAAATCTCATTCATGCTAAAAACCCATACTTCTTCCTCTCTATTTCCAAGAAATACTAATCCCCTCAGTAGTGAAATATCTAGGTGTCATACTTGATAAAAGATTGACTTGGGGTCCCCATATAAAATCTAAAAGGAGAATCCTCCTCAATAGTCGTTTTCATTTATTTTGCGCAATTCTGAAATTAAAACTAGCTTTCAACACAAAAATTACAATCTACAAATCCCTATTAAGACCTATTTGGGCCAATGCGATTCAAATTTGGGAATCTGTAAAATCATCCCAAATACGTACCCCACAAGCCTCCCATATCCATTACTATCCGCATTATATCTTCTGCTCCATGTGCCATACTGCGCATACTACGTATCCAATTCCATACTTCAAAATTTAAATTGAATCAGTAAATCAACTAGCCACCAATCAGTTATAATACATTTATCACGCAAAATAAATAAATTACAAAAAAATATGTATGTTAGGTTCTATCACTGGATAGCCTCCCTCCTCATGTATATCATTGTTGTGTATTTCTTTTCTATTTCTAATAAGATTATTATGTAGCATAGATTGAAAATATTCTAAGAAAAAAAACTTACGTATTTGATATATTTATTTTACAATTATGTTTTTGTTTTTTTTTCTTTCTTCCTGATCGAAATAATGCTTCGATGTTCAACTTTAGTTGCTTAAATTCTCAGTAGAAATCAAAAACACCGGTAGTTAAAAGGAAAAACGAAAATGTTCACACCAAATCGATTTGGCTTTGTTGTAACTCTTAAAAATTACAGTAGATACATGCATTTTTCACTGAATGCTTGTATATACTAGCATTTTATATACGCCCTAAAATATTTTGATTCATGTTGAACTATTTATATATGCAATTTTCGATTTTTATTAGCTTTAAAAAAAAAATTAATGTCAATTAAACTAACAATACAAGATTCCTCATAAGATAGTCTCTTCTAATCAAAAAAAAAAAATTGTATTACCTGAAAAGTCATAATCAATTTTTATGAGCATTTAAAGTTCAAATTTTGACAAAATGTACAAATTATTTGGTAGTAATTTATAAAACGTCCAACTTTTGCAGCTAAGGATTGAAAACTTAAAACAAGGTTCCACTTAAGTAGTTTATTCTTATTTACTTTTTCATCAATCAGAATATTTTGTAGAACTTAATTATAAAGTTATAACCTCATGAAATTTCTGATTTTGCGATCTTTCGCATTGACACAACACTCAACTTTATAGCGCCTTCAATTGTCTTTATGCTATACTATGATATAACAACTATTTTTCAATTTTTTTAGGGTTAACAAGGGATCATCTGAGAACAGGTCCGGTTGCATTAAATCGGTTTTTCTTACATTTATGTAATATATTTGAACAACTTAAAACTTGAATTGCATGTTACAAACATTTAGTAAAATGATAGGAAAAAGGAAATATAAAAAGGAAAATGTATTGCAATAAAAGAGAAAATTATTAATCAATTTAAAAAAAATAATAATAATAGAACAGTGGTTTAAAAACACTTATGATTTTAATGACAACTAAAAGAACTACAAGTTGAATAATCTTATTTTTTGTTTAGTATTTATGCAAATGTTTACACACTTAATATGTTGGATATAATTATATTTACTAGTACATAATTTACCATTCTAGAATGATTTAAAAGAATATAAGCAAATAATCAGTCCACAGAAAAAAAACCTTATTTATAACTCTTTAAGTATTTATATTGAACATTACTATTTATTAAACAAACAGTATTTATTAAACAAAACTATAAAATATATAAATGGAAAGAAATTTAGTTATAAATTCCAAATAATTATAACCCAGTAATATATAAAAGTAATTGAAATATAAATTTCAAAATTATATTTGTACATAAATAATAAATATATATTACATTATTACTGCATATATTTTATAATTCAAATTTATTTTAGTATAGATGAATAAAACATGTTGATTTTGTAATTTAAGTAGATATAATTTTAAAACCAATATAATATTACAAACAAATGTGCAGCAAGAAATATAATACGCATTTTTGACAGTGACAATAATTACATAAACCTAATTTTTAGAGATTTATGAAGACAATTTTATGACTTGACAATGAGTTGAAATATGCATAAACACGACTTCACTAGTTCAATGATTTTAACAATTGATTGATTTTCTCTTGGCATTCATCTTTTTTCCGCTTGAGACCACTATCTAATTCAACAAACTGATTTCTTCCAACCTTACCTGTTATAAGTTTATCAGTGTATAAGGATTGTGTTTGTCCAAAAAGTTCTTTTAAATTTTTTTCTGCCTTTTGTACCTCATTTAATTTATCTGATAGTTCTGCTGATTCAGTTTTTAACTTTGTAGCTAATTCATTGATGCTGGTCGATTCATTTTTATAATCAGTCTGAATTTGTTTTGATGCTGTATTATATGTACCAATGTCTTTGGAATGTTTCAATTTATTCAAAGCCTCGTCCCAAGAGCTATAAATGGAAGCCCTCCGTTCAAAATGATGCAAAATTGCACTTGTTATTCCGGATATACGTTGGCGTGTTTCACTATGTCCATCCTTGGCTATTGAAAAGTCCAAACGAACCCAAATAATTACAGTCAAAAACAAAATGTAAATAGCAACAATTACAATTAATGGTTCATGGAACATAAAGGCTTTTGGGAATTTGTATCTTAGTTCAAAATCACTAATGTGACTTTCTACAACATTTGACATTTGTAATTTTATTATTGGCCTGCCTATGGTATCTAAGTATGTATAGTGTAAGCCATCTGGTAAACGTACAATTGGATGGGTCGTTTTTAGATCTAAGTCTACTGATCCTTCAGGAAGAATAATGCGTACTGTTACGTCTTCAATTATCATATTATCATATAAATGATCAATAAGACGCATCTTCAACAAATAATCTTCCCCACTGTTGTACAGATATTCGTAAGCTGGTACATTATAACCAATTGTATAATGAGTTTTCCAACCACCGAATAGAGGGAATCTTGGACGAATATCCAATTCAACTGAGTCTAAAAGTGTTCTTTGATTTGATGTAGATATGTTACCAATGACATCTCTATAATAAACACTAGTTGCTGAAGCCGGAAGGTACATTTTGAATGATTTTACACTAGACATTCCACTGTTAGTTTCACGTTGGTAATCATAACGAGAAAATGAACCTTTTAATTTAGCACCATGATGAACAAGGTCAATGACATCAGTAACAGCAACATTTCCCCAATGCGATAATTCAATAGTTCTAATTAATTTTGTAGCTTTTAAAAATGGAGTATTATTATCATAATGTAAACTGATTTGAGAATATGCAAATGGTTCTAGTGAACCAAAGGGCCCATAAACAATATCTCCAGAGCTCAATGATACTGGGCTGATATTGGTGTAGTCTTCTATCCGTCTTGTTCCAGTTTGGAATTTAACAGAAGATTTAAGACTTTTGTATGGTGAATACAAATAAGCATTTCCATAAAACATCATCAACTGTCTATCTTTTTGAGTTATTTCTTCCGGATGAGGATACAAAGCGTTAATCAAAACATATTCAACCACAAGTGGTGCTCGACCTTTTGATCGCAATGGCCGAGATGCATTAAAATCAATTTGATAAAATTGCTTATCTTCATGCCCCGATAATGTCACTGGTTTAACATTTAAACTCAAGCGATTAGATTCAAATACTTGATGAGCAGAAATAAATGAAATGTGACTTTTAATTGAAGGTTCAAATGCATACAAAACCGAGTTCACAGGCTTGTCATCATTATTCTCCAAAGATAGACGACATTCTCCTTTAACTAATTGGGTGCTTAAATCTACTAAGCATTCAGCATTATTTATAAATATTTTAGGGTTCACTTCAATTGAAAAAGAAGTAGAAATAGTTATTGCCACTAAGAATAAGTGGAGCAAAATCATTTTTTACAAACCTGAGACCAAATGTTCTAGTTGCAAAAATCTTGTTTTTGTATTTTATTCGGATTTTAATACCTGAAACATCAAAACAAAGAAGCCATTTGATAAAACTGGTTAATTTTTGTATTTACATATTTTATATTACAATTTAATTTAATTCAATGTTTAGTTTTTTTGTGTTGCTTCATGTTTCTGTGTTTTGTCTTTAATTGTATATTTGGCAAATGTTTTTAAAGGATCAAATGGTTCCCATCGACTAGCAGGAAAAATATGTTTGTTTCTTTCATACCAATTTCTCAGCAATACTTTCCCTGCATGCGAGTCTTCTTTCTCTAAACTAGCATCACTAACCATTCGAATATCATCATGAACACCAAATGTGAACAGTGGACCACTTTTACCTCTTGCTTTAGCAACAATAAAATCATAAAACGAATAATGGTGTGGTAAAATCAAATCTTCTTTAACATACATTAATTGGTCAGCCATTATAGTTTTAAGCTCCCCAAATTCTCGACGTAATTGTTCTAGTGCTTTTTGTAAAAACTGATAAATTGTATTACCCTTTTTCATAACAATTGTACGCCTATGACCTGAACCATCCCAGTAACTGAATGTTATACTTATTTCTTCTTCTTTTAAGCATTTTTGTTTATCGGTCCATTCTTGTCTTAATGTTTCTCTTAAACAATTCTCTTCAGATTCTCTGTCACGATCAGGTAAAAAGCTAGTATCAACATCTGGATTTTTTTTGATTTTTTTAGGTAAAGGTTGAAAGTTAGGTTCTTCTTCTGTCTCTTCTTCATCTTCTTCTTCCACTTCACTTTCTTCAGACATATCTTCAATAAATGACAATGCTTTAATCTTCCGCTGTTGTCTTCGTTTTTCTTCTAGTTTTGCCTCTAATTGTCTTTGCTTTTCAAATTCCACTTCTTTCTCCTTTTGTACTAATCTCTTAGCTCTTTCTTGGACAACTGTCTCTTGTTTAGCTTTCATTTCATCCAATGTCACCAAACCAATAGTCGAGCTTTTGAGTTGTGCCTCCAACGAATCATAATGTTTGGCAAACTTATTTTCAATATTTGACAGTTTCATTTCTTCTTCAATTTTTTTCTTACGTAACTCAATTTCGGCTTGAGCAAGCTCCCGTTTTTTCATCAATTGCATAGCGCGGCCAGCTTCACTGGCAGCTCCTTTGTAATGTGCCATTTTGATGAGATTTGTTTTAGCGTTTACAATGTTAACATGTAATGCCGACAACTAACAACAAAACAACCTTAAACTTAAGACTGAAACTTTAAAACTACAGAATTTAAACAAAAATGTTACTACTTACATGTGAAACGAGGAGAGTTTGAATCCAATGGTTATATTTCTATACACTAAAAAAAGAACATTGTCAAGTATAAATTGTACACGCACTAAATGATGTTTACAGAACGGCACTACAGTCTACGAGCTATGGGCTACGGCAGATTGCCATTTGTCGAAAAGCCGAATCTGAGAACGTCATTAAGTTTGAAGTTACTAACGAGTAACGTTCTTGACGTTGACGCCGTCGATTCACCGGCTCTTGGTATAACTGAAGTTGGAAACACTGTCGCTGTTGTCACTAATTGTCAATAAATGAAAATAATCACACATTTTAAGAACCAATTATAATTGCGTAACATTTTGTTTTGGTTGGACAAAATTTGTTAATGTTTATCTATCAACCTACGATCTACCTTTAGTATACTCTATAATAGTCTATACCATATCTATAATTGTCCTAATACCTAATACCTATTTTGATTAATAAATTGGATTTTCTACAGTAGCCATTATTATTTTATTGTGTTTTATATTATTTACTTTACCTAAACGTATACGTACTACAAAAAAAAAAGAATGGCTACGTTATTTGGTGTATCGTTGAATCCTTTTTCAACGCCTGTAGGTGAAAAAATTGGTGAGTTTCTGTTTTCATCCACAGTGCTTTTACCATATTGATCGTTTCAAATGATTTTATTTAAAAAATAATTTACGTCTACACCCGCACACCTATGATAAATGTATACGTGTATTATTCGGGGACCTGTATATTATAATGTTAAGACTAGGCGTTAAGTCTTTTTCGTACATTTGATAATTCAAAATAATATTTGAAAGTACTACGTAATTAGTAACAAGCGTGTACACATATGATTATTAATACAATTGTATGTTTAATATTTTTTGTGTATGGAATTGTTTTTGGATCCGCAATATAAAGAATTTAGGATCACCATTTTGTATTCATATTTCATAGAATTCTCTTTTAACATTTTAAAAACAGCAACAATACTAAAAATATGTAGTTTTTAAGGGCTTTTAAATTTTCACACAATTAGTGCAGTGTTGTAAATACAAAATAATATAAATGTTAAATAACTAACATACACCAGATTTAAATATTGATAATATCCAATAGCTACATCTATATTCTTTTCCCAGCTATGTACTTATATATTTATTATGCAATAACGCATAATAAATTAGAATTCCTGTTAAGTGGACGGTGTGGGTAACTGTTCATAACTTGGTTGAAAATCAATATATGAAAAAAAAAACCATGAGATGCCCAAGATAATTTTGCCTATTCTTACCTTTAAATTTAAAAATAGATTATTCAATATAAAGAATATCAATATAAATGGATTTTTCTGAGTGTTCAATTTACTATGTTATGTGTTGGCAAGATAGATATGTTAGATGTGGGTAAAATATCCCCTTAATCTACTGTTAATCTTGTTTTAATTTTTAATATACATTAGTATATTAGATGCAACTTGTTTTAAAATGATAAAAATAGTGTCATTTTCATAATTTCTTTATATATTTTACAATCATTAAATATTTCTAATTGAATATTATTGAATATCTTATTTTAAATTATATTATATTTTGTTTTTATTGAATAGAATTAGCAACTGATGGGGGCTTGGCTTCTGAAAATTGGTCACTTAATATGGAAATTTGTGATATGATTAATGACACAGAAGAAGGCCCTAAAGATGCAATTAAGGCAATTCGTAAAAGATTGCTTCAAAATGCAGGAAAAAATCATAAAATTATTATGTATACCTTGACGGTTAGTATTATATTTAATTATAGATTATAATTATTTACATTATTTTACTAATTATAGGTTTTGGAAACATGTGTAAAAAATTGTGGTAAACGATTCCATGTTTTAGTTTGCAACAAAGAATTTTCTCAAGATTTAATTAAACTAATTGGTAAGCAGACTGTTTAAATATTAATTTTTATACATTGTTGATTTCCATAATATGTTATCTAATTTAGGTCCAAAAAATGATCCACCTACCATTGTTCAAGAAAAAGTGTTAAGTCTTATTCAAAGTTGGGCAGATGCGTTTCGTAATCAACCTGATCTACAAGGAGTTTACCTTGTGTATAGAGAACTTCGTCAAAAAGGAATTGAATTTCCTATGACAAATCTTGATACAATGGCCCCAATACATACACCGCATAAAGTAAATTTTATATAAATATAAATTTAATGTTTATTAAATCTATATTATACATTTTTATAGAGTTATTCTGAAGAGCTCAAGCCAGTAGTCAGTTCACATTCAAATGATCAAACAAATAGTCGGCCAAATAGACCAGACCAACTTAATAAACTGAATTCTGATTTGGAGTTGGTTCGTGGCAATATGACAGTGTTAAATGAGATGCTCTCAGAATTGGTACCGGGGAAAGAAGATGGATCAGATATTCAACTTTTAACTGTAACTAGTTTAATGATTAATATACATGCAATTTTTAAAACTATCAGCATTTAGAGGATGTTATACCAGCAAATGGTGTCAGTACATACTCATACCTCGCTTACTAGTTAAAATGTCATAAAACTCAAAACATAGAACACATGTTCTTACATTTATATTTTATAATTGGTAAAATTGCTCAAGTTTAATATCCAACAACACAAAATTGGATCTACTGAATTCAATTTGGCTATGTTGTATGTTAGTAAGATGGAGACAACTTAACACATTCACTGTGAATGATTCCAAATGGCTTCTTTATCATTGTTTGCATATGCCAATTGATTTCTTTAATTTTGTTATAATTGCAATATAGTTTGGTCAAAATTTTGATTTAACTCTTAGTTTTTATTAGCTTCTCCTACACGTTTTATTTCATAAGTAACTTGCAAGTCATACATCGGTGTTTTAATTTTTCAATTTTTAAGGATTTTTTTAGTGTTGTCATGACAAGTACACTCAATTATTATTCACAGCAAACGGGTTAAGCAGGTGATCCGTCTTCAATAATATATATTATATTTATAATAATATATATATATATATATATATGTTTTGATATATTTTATATTTATATTATTTAAAAATATGATCTCTAAAATCTATTTAGTATAAAAATAATTAATATAAACTATTTGTTTCTCAACAGAACTGTTCAATTTTTAATATAATTACTAAATAATAAAAATATTTTTAGGATTTATATACCACATGTAAAGCAATGCAAGAAAGAATTGTTGAACTCCTCGCCAAGTTATCAGATGGTGAACTAACTGAACAGCTCTTATTAGTCAATGATGATTTAAACAATCTTTTTCTACGGTTAGCTTTTATACTACTCAATATTTCAAAAAACAGTACATATATTTACAAATATATATTGTATAAAATAGATATAGCAGATACGAAAAGAATAGAGAAGCGGGATGTAGCTCTATTTCTGTGGATGGTCCAGCTATAAAAACAACTGATTTACTTCAAGGTTTTATTGACGAGCCGATTGCTACAACTTCAAACCAATTTTCAAAACTGAGTAATTATACCAATTTTAGTACAACACTATAAAGTTTTAACCTTATATACCACTCTTTTATAGGCAGTTAAAATGAAAGTGTACTTGATTCAGTAACAACAAATAAAGGTGTAGATTTTGAAAGGCAGAATATATTTTGTGTCTACTACATTACTTTTTTTAAAGGAATGTAGTAGATTGAATATTTGGTTGCCCAAAACACAAAGATCTAGTTTTCTTAGTCTTGTAAAATATAAATTATTAACTAAGAATAAAACTATTACTACTTACTATAAAATATTCCCTTTTTATGTGTTTAATTATAAATAATAATTTTTTAATCTTAGGTGTTAATAATGAAAAGCCTAAACAAAATCCACCTGCAGATTTGCTTACTAGTATTCATACAGATGACTTTGATATGTTTGCTCAATCTCGATCAGTATCATATGAGAATACAAAAGTTGGGTAATAATAATATTTAATTGATTATGAATAAGTTATTATTTTTTATTACTGGACACAGAAATTAAAGTAATATTATAAAATATTTAGTGGAAGTAGTTATGATGCCAATTTAAAGCCAGATCAAGTCGACAGCTTAGCTTCTTTGACTCAAGCACGATCACAAAATGTTACAACAAAAGATGTAAGTATCTACCTCAAATGTCTTTATATCTTAATAATATAATCTAAATTGTTTTTTAAGTATTAAATTAATAAATTATATTATGTTCTTTATAATTGAAATCACGTTTGTATAAAACAATTGTTATCGTGTTAGTAATACTTGTGTGTGTATTGTGTGGGTTCTGACCTTAGGATTGTGCTCATGAAGATGTCATCAGGGTAAGAGTACATTGTTTATAGAATGAAATTATGCCCTGATAATATTTTTTAACATTACTTGCTTGACATAATATATCAGTAATTTTTTTTCGACTATCTCCATTTGTATGTAATGCGAAAATATTAAAACCATTATTTATTATTATTATTTTAAGATAATGCATCATACATGTTTGTACCTATTTATACAGTGTTAATTAAAATGCATGCTATTTTTTTAAAATCTATTTTTAGATAAATATGTATTTCAGTTCTAAATAATTATCACCAAATACTACCAGTGTAACAAAATTTTAAAAAAGAATACAATATTATTTATTCAATTAATAATAATTAAAGTTAACATAAAATAAGACTTCCCCAAAATATTTTAATATAGTTTAATGCATTATTAGTATGGTATGTTTAGTTAATGCAATTAATTATATTTATAGAAATAAACACAATATACAATAATGATATCTTCTATAATCAAGTTTAAGCACACATCTAAAAAATTTGCTTCTAATTTTATTACTGGTGCATCTACTAATTAATAGTTTATCATAAATAATTTATAGTTAATGCAATTATTTTGTTACGTATGATAAATCCACCATGGAAAAAAATTGCATACATTTATAATATTTATATTTTATTATTTAATAAGTCATTCATTTGGTTGCAAATGTATATACTTATTTAAATGTTTAAAATGATTACATAACAATTAAATAAAGCTTATTTTTTTAACGGTTTATTATTTGTAAAATGTTGCAATAAATTATTTTAAATATTTCTAACCATTAATTTCATAATTA